GTTCTTTCTAAATTTTCAATGTTAAAACCTTTTTTTTCGTCCACCAAATAGAAGAATACAACTCTTTTTCTCGCTTTTATTCAAACAAAACGAAACAAAAAATCTCCTTTCAGAAGCACATTCTAAAATGAGTGAAAAAAGATTGAAAATAATTCCGTTAAAATATGTTGGTGTCCGTAGCATCTCCGCAGAGTAAATTGCAAAATACCGCTGAGAATATCGTTGCTTGACAGTGAGATTTTATTTCGTTTATTCAATTAAATTCGCACTAGACTGTGGTACCAAGATAATCCTATTAGAATAAGAGAGTGAGAGATTGAAAGTAATCCGATTGGAAATTTGAGAATTTCAATCAATTCAATGTGCACGCCGGATAATTCTAACCATATTCGGCTTAAAACAGAATTTTAACTACAATGCAATGGCCACGTTAAAAGCAGATATCTTTTCTTCTTTAATTACTTTTGGTAAACAAATGGCACAAAAAATATTTTATATACCACCTTTCCATTTCCTATAGTGGTTCACGTCGATCTTGAAAAAAAAAATAATAAAAATTGTAACTACAAAATGTGTTTTAGCCGAGAATAACGTTGTCCATAAATTTTTGGGATTTATTTCAAGAACGCATTAACCTAAAGTTCAATTTTCGAAAAAAAGTGTTTCCAAATATATATTTTTCATCATGATGAAAGGCAGTTTTCCCCTTTAACCTCATGCCAAGCGAATTTATGATGGTTGATAGTGAACGAGTGCGTGTGTAAACGTTTCAATACACTTCAATGACTTTTTGGTTTGCCTATCAACGCTCACTCCCCCCAATTCGTCATCATTGTTCGCCGATATAGAATTTAACAAAAAAAAAACGGCGCGTACTTTTTTTTGTTGAACATTAAAAATGTGAAATAAACCGTTCGTCTTTCCAGTCACGAAACGAAATAATCCAATGAGAAATAAAAGTTTTGCCATGGATTGTGGTTTGTGGTTTCGATTTGTTCATTCGCTCTCTCTCTCTCTCGCTCAATTCATTTGAAATTCGCTTTTGTTCTTATCGATTGTGCAACTGAGAGTCTGTCACAGTTGATTGTACGTTTGACGCACACGACTATAAAGCTTTATCGATCTGTTCAGCTGTGAGTTACAACTTATCCGCTTGACGATATTATGGAAAGGATAAGGAAAATTGCACATATCTTTCTAACGAACCGAAAACAATGTCACGATAGTATATTTGATTTCATTCCCCGAGGAAATGGATGATTTTTGTATCTACTTCCTTTTTTTCTGGTCAATTTTTCGGTTTAAAAGTCGTTCGGCTTTCACCAGTGCAATATATTCTTACATCTTTTAACATGGTTTTCGCCGTTCGCTAGTATCATCCAAGCGACACCACTTTGAATGATGGACAACGCATTCTTTGGCCAAACAATTCAATGTACAAGAAAGGAATAGTCGATTTTCCAATCGATGAGCATTCCCCAACCAAATGGAGTGTTCTCAAATTCTTTGTGCAGTGCTACGAAAACGTCGATGAAGGAGATTCTCTGAAAGAAAATATTTACCACCATTGTTGTGACTTTTATTTAGTTAGTTTTGATAAACACATCCGTTAGTGTCCCGTGAGTTATCTTTTCGCATTCACGATGCGTAACGAAATGACTTCGTGTGTCGTATGTACAAAAACCGAATGTCGTCTTCAATAAATGAAAAGGAGAGCAGAAGGATTCGAAGAAATGGATATATCATCTCATAAAAATACACTAAATTTTCAAAATCATTCGGCTAAAAGTGCTGTAATCGAGTTGAAAATATGAAGTGACCCAAAATGAAATGACACATAGAATAGTGTCCACTGTTTATCTTCATATCATGTTTCGGCAATATATTTGTCGATTTTGGTGTCTGAAAAACCATCAAATGTTGTGCACGCTTTATTTAACTTCATTGCTTTGTAACGATATTTGATGAAAATGTATTTTTGTCAAGGCATCGTTTGTCTCGCTCGAACAGTGAAAATTGATACGAAAGTCACAAAGCATTACAGTTTGAAGGAAATAAAAGTTGATGTACATACAAATCGAGGAGAATGCAGAATGTTACTGAATACATTTGAACATATCTTAATTTTGGAAATGTTGTCGAGAGACAAGATATGCGCCGAGAGTGTAACAAAATCAAAAATCCTTTCAAATTTAACGCTGTTGAATTTTTCCACAAAATAATGGATAAAATAATGAGAGTCATCTGTTTTGGTGGAAAATTTATCATGAGAAAATTTAAGATTTAAACTCATTTATGAAAGAGACAATTCTCGCACGAAATTCCATCAAAAATGAGTTTGGAATTTTGATACTTTTGCTGTATGCATACACTTGCCGCTAGACTATTTTACCAACAATGGTCGTGCCGAAGTGGAGTAATGCATGGTGAAAGAATTGCTTGAAATTCGAAATGATTTCATTGAAAATGTTGGAGCGTAATTACATGTTGAAGTTCATGTGGCGAGAAATGGAATTGCTCGCATTAATTGGAATGGGAAAAGGGCAAAAACAGCAGCAGCAACAACAACAATGACTGACAGAATATGCTTGACATTTTATAATTTTCATGAGAAACGAACAAATATTTTACATTCTTTCAAATTAAATTGCTCGCATAAAAGACACTTGATTACTTTGTCGTATGTATTTCATTGTTGAGCCAATTGTGCGCTAACTTTGAGCTAGTTCAAAAGTAAAAATGGAATTGATTGAAACGCACTGCCTGCATGATTTCATTACATCTGGGAAGCACTTGCTGCATATGTTTCATTGCATTTAACTTTTAACAAAACCATATTGTACACTTTTTTTTCTTTCGCCTGCAGTTACACCGTCATTCCAAGCGATATCAACCTCAAGCTGATGCAAACATTTTTTTTTCTGTGAGCAAGTAATTTTTGCTCTGGATTTTGCAATTGCATCAATTGCAAGGGGATTGCAATGCGAAGAAAAAAGTTGAAATGCTGTCAAAGCGTAATAAAGTGTTAGCTAGAAAAACGTCGTTGAAAATGACTTATGTCAATAAAATAGCGAATCAAATTGAGCAAACTTGTAGCAATAAATAAAGTTCTGAACGTTGGCAGTGCTTTACAAAGTCTTCACAATAAACAAGGAAAGGCAACGTTTTCTCTCCATAACAATACAGCTCTGGCTCGGGCACTACTTTAAAATGTGCATGAATAATTCGGAAATAAATGTTCTCTGAACTTTTGAGACAGGGTATAGATGGTGTGCGTGTGTGTATGTTATTATTTGTTATTTTTCCGTATCATGTGACGCCATGTACACAAGTTTATACCGTTAAAAAGCAGTCAGGCAGAAGGAACATAGCAAAGAACTGTTCAAATACAGTAGAATGTTGCACAACATCAACGATTAACCTTTGGCATTGATAACAAGCCATTTGCTATTAGTACAGATTGGTGGTACAGACGAAGCTAATTTGTGATGTCTTGTATCGCGTGTATACGGTATACGTCACGAAATTCATGAACTGAAATCGAATTCCCAGCAGACTGATTTCGCAAAAGGTAAATAGAAAATTCGAAGCGGTGTTTTCATTGTGTTGCGCATCGCGATTGAGAACAGCACCAATATCGGCTGCGGATTGAATTCTATTTGCTTTCCAAATTCAAAGGTCACACATGTACGATAGGTATATGCAAGTTGGATAGGAAAGCAACATATGCCATGAATTAGTTTCGATGGGCTCTGCTGCATAGAGTTTTTATACAACACAAACGTAGAACAGAATGTTGCCGTCGGTGGTTTTGATTTTGCTAATATTTTTCATTTCGGGTTAGCAAAAACAAACAAACAAACAAAAAACTATTAAACGTGAACGAAAATATACAGTATGTATTGTAAGACATACTTATGCAAATCGAACTATATTCGTAGAATGTAACAATATTCGATTTACGAAAAATCGCTCCAGGAATAACAGATAGAATAAAATTCGTATTCAACGGAACGGGAATGATTCTGCGGCTGTACTGCATAAATCATAAATCTGAATTCCCCAGTCGAGTTTCAGTGGTGACTGCAGTATTCTTGAAATGTTTTACATTGAACTTGGTTACATTTCAACCAAATGGAATCGTCAACACTTTGGCAGCACGGAATTTATGGTGCTATGCGTTTGATATAAACATATTGCCATCGAACAAAAAAGGGCTTTTCCCTCCCACAATAACATTTCCACATCGCAATTCTGTCTCGAATTTCTGGCTGTCAACAGAGTCGAATGCAAAAATTTCATATTTCATGCTTGACTGCATCAGAATGCAAACAATGAAAGGAAAGCCACAAAGAATTCCTAAGAATTCCTTCTCCCAATATTGTCAAAAAATTTTTATTCTCTTGGTTTATTTTTTTATAGTTTTCGCCAAAATATCAACCATATTTAAATGTCGATGTCTTGAAAAGGAACGAATATTACAAAAACTCAATTTATTGAATTGCAAATTGGCTGTAAAAGGATTGACGAAATGATTGGTTCGACAGGATATTAAGAGAGAGAGAAAAAATATATGACATTCAAAGAAAATTCATCGTTGCTTTCGAGCTTTCGACACAGTCATATTGAATCACTTCACTTCTATGCATTTGTACACAATTTAATAACCATTTTACGGAAATCACATTCAATGTCAATATTTTCTTGATTAGCCTCGAATTGAATTGAAAAATGTGTGCAAATGAAAAAAACAATTTCATTAAACTTCCTACGAATGAAAATTCTTTTTGAAGCGAGCATTGAATCTATATCGCTCGATTTATTTATATATAGAGTATAGAGGTTTATGTTTCAGCTCGGTTTATGAATGAATTTATTGGCATCGTACGTTCAAGGCGTAAAAGCGTATACAGCGAGTGTGAATATACCGAAAATTTCCGAATAACATGAAATAGCATATCTAGCAAAACTTGAAATAAAAAAAAATGCGAAAAACTTACTTGCAGTAGTAGAGACGACCTTCTTTTGTCGCGTGTACCGTCCAACCGTCTTTTAGCGTATCTTGAATTAAATCCAAATATCGAGTCACCTCATTCTCGGCGAGAATTGTTGGCGGCGGCGGCATTTTCGACGCATCGTTCACATGATATATGTGATCGACGCCCATATGTTGACCTGATTGCAGCAACATGACTAATTTATGCCTTTCGCCACCTTTTTACACATGTAGTATGCGACACAAACTTCACTTCGTTCAATCGACATTCGAAGCGTCCATCTGAAATTGACACAAAACAAACAAGACAAATTAACGCTTGCATTGACAAATAAAATGGTTGACAATTTATTCGAAAATTCAGCCAGCTAAAACGTGACACAATTAACAAAATACGACATAACCATATTCGACAATCTGCATCAAGTAGAATAGTAAAGCAAATAATTTTGAATTGCAGTGATATCGAGCCTACATCAACGTGGTGAGAATTTGTTAATAATTAAATGACACACAATTTGATTGATTATAGCTTTGGTAAATATCATTCTACATCACGTTCGACCCCAATGAAAATTGCTCTCAATCACG